ACTGATGTCAAGAGGAACACTGCTCTTGACAAAAGTGCAGATCAGTGTGGGAAACAGGCAAGTTACACAGGAAAACACAGAGATAACTTTTCTTAAAATCTATAACTATTCCAAAATACACACAAAAAAGTATCATCACAGTGTGGATAAAATAGATATTATAGAAATGGAAAAGCAAAGGGACTCCATGAGTCAATAGAATATACCAAAAATATGACTGAGGATGTTGTAGAATCAGTACCTGGAGTATACATAAGGAGTGACCCAAAGAAAACAGGATTTTATTTACTAAAAAAATTGTTGACTGAGCTCGGTGACTCAGCTTGTAATCCCAGTACTTTGGGAGGATGAGGCGAGTGGACTCCCTGAGTCTGTGGCTTCAAGACCCACCAAGGCAACTCTGTGAGAACCTACAATAAATCAAAAATTAGCCAGGCACTGAAGCACATGCCTATAGTTCTGGCAACTTGGAAGAATGAGGCAGAAGGATCGCCGGAGCCCAACAGACCGAGGCTACAGTGGCCAAGAGTGTGCCACTGCACTCCAGTCTGGGCGACTGTGTGAGATTCATTTTCAAAAAAAAAAAAAGAAAAAGAAAATGTTTTTTATTTATTCTTACATGTATAACTTCAGTCTCCTTTGGAGTACTCTCTATTTGATACAATACATTTTCTGAGAAGCTTTTTCCATCGTTCGAAACAATTTTTGTAGTAGTCAATTTTGATGCCTTCAGTCAGTTTTGACTGAACTTCTCTGATGCAGGAAGGTGACAGCATGGGGTTATTGTTATAGCCCTGATAATGCATTATTCATCTTCATTGAATTACTATGAAATTTACTATGGATCTGAGAGGACTGTACTTGCTTAATCAGTCACTCTAGCCACATCCTGGTCATGTTTTCTGCAGTTGACAACCAAAATTCCCAGCAATATAACCCAGTATAAATCACAAGCTTCTAATTAGTTTTTGTTTTTGCTTTTCTTCTTTTAATTTTTTTATTTTTAAGATGTGGGGAACAATTCAGGTTAGGTATTCAAATGATCATTACGCAGGTACCCATGTTGATGAGGTATGCCCCTTCTTCCTTTGGCAGTTTCCCACTACTGCCAATCCCTTTCTTACAGTAGTATGATAATTGTTCAAGGTCTCCTTATGAGTGAGAATATATGGCACTGTGTTCATTGTTTCTGTGATAGTTCCCTGATTCTAAATCCATCCAAGTTAACAGGAATGGTCATATGTTTGTTCTTCTTTATGGTTGCATAATATTCCACTGAGTATATGTACCACATTTTTTTATCCAGTCCAGCTTGAATGGGCAGTATTGTTGGTTCCATGTATTTGCTAATGTGAATAGAGCTGCAACAAACATGTATGTATAGGTATCTTTATGGTAGAATGATTTGAGGTCCTCCTGGTATATTCCCAATAGGAGAATTACTTGGTCATATGGACAGCCAATTTCTAGTTCTTTCTGAAACCACCACACTGTCTTCCAAAGAGGTTGTATTAGTTTGCATTCCCACCAGCAGTACAGAAGTGTTTCTGGTGGAAATGCAAACTAGATAAAAGGAACACCTTTGATTATTATAGAACTATTGTTTCACTACAACACTGTGAGATAAGGAATTATAACACTGTATGGCAGCTGTGAAAATTGTTAAATTCAACAGAATGATGGAGCTCAGAATGGTCAGCATGGAAGTATGTCTGTATTAGTGTGTTGTCTAGAAGTGTACATCTCTGTACTTATTTTAGTAGGAAGGAGGAAAATCTGAACTGGGGGTTAGATATGGAAACATAAGGAATTACAGAAATGCAGATACTAGCTTTCCTCATAATGAAGAAGAAATAGCATATTTGAAAGGTATGTGAGTAAAATAACTATGAAATGATAAAACAGATTGAATGAATCTTCATCATAGGTGTCTCCTAGTGCTAACACACCCACAGATTTTATAAGGAAGATGCAAGTGATGAGGCTTGTTTCAAAGAGACAATTAGGGACAAAGGTAGACCACAGTGATGCACAAGGTAAGGAGAAAGACCAACCCTTGAAGAGGAAATTGCCTGGGTTGAACTTCTGAACCACATCACTGTAGATCTGATAAGCAATTTATGAAAAAGAAAATTCAACAACATGTTTCTCATGAAATATCTAGTTCATGTTTGAACATGAAGCAGAATTGCCCACAGCCTTAAAAAATCATCTCCTAACTACATAAAAACAAACAAGCAACCCTGTATAAGTAGGCTTTAAGAAGTGAGCAGGTCAGTCCTATGCAATACCAGAAAAATAAAGGCTTACAACTTTAGTATAAAACGTGATGCTATGAACAATCTACAGATAATCATGTATATGGAATTTTGTCCTGAACAAAATAAGATAAAAGTTAAACCTAATTAAATTTCTAAATGTTTTTCTGCTAAATTGACTGTCAACAAAATGAAGAACAAGCTTCAGTGCAAATAAATTATGAAAAAAATTAAACCAACAAAAATCTTGCATACGTTAGAGTCTTCAAAAGAAAACAGTAAAAAATAAGAAATAATCAATTTATAAAACTGAAAACAATAGGTGCACACAGTCCCTCGAAGATATACAAGTGACACAAGAAGAATATCAACATCATTTATCGTTAGAATTAATATGGAGATGACATGAGACATCAATACACTTTTTTAACCCTATTTTTATTATAAAGATGTGGAGTGCCTGTAATCCCGCGCCTTTGGGAGGCTGAAGTGAGTAGATTTCCTGAGCCCGCGGGTTCGAGACCAGCCTTGGCAGCAAGACCTCATCTCTACAATAAATCAAAAAATCAGCCGGGCGTGGTAGCGTGTGCCTGTAATTCCAGCTACTTGGAAGGCTGAGGCGGAAGGATTGCCGGAGCCCAGCAGGTCAAGGCTGCGGTGGCTGGGAGCGGCCACTGTACTCCAGTCTGGGTGACAGAGTGAGACTCCAACTCAAAAAAAAAAAAAAGATGCTAAGTACAAGTTAGGATTAAGTACACAATAATATATGTGCAGGTAGAGCTTGAGCCTCCTTCTTGTTCCTGGTATAGGATAAGGTAACCTTTGTGTTATAACATGACCACCTTTGTCCCTTGGCAGTGTACCACAGATTCACTTTTATAGATGACTGTATTAATAACAAATATTGATAGCACCAGTATTTGTGAACATGGTAGGCCCTACAGCCTAAAATATATCTCGTGTAATGCAAAATGAGACATCCTCTCAGGAATGCAATGAACAATTTCTCTTAAAGTTAAGCATGTCCTTAACACATAAGCCCGAAATCTACTCTTGAGTATTTGCTGCAAATGAATAAAATGACATTTTAACACATTTTTAGTCAAACATTTATAAAATTTATAGATGTTAGAAACTAGAGGCTGGGAGTGGTGATTCAAGCTTGTAATCCCAGCACTTTGAGAGGCCAAGGTGGGTGGTTTGCCGCAAAGCATTATTTTGACATCAGCCGGGGCAACGTGGCAAGATTTCATCTCTAAAATCAATCAAAAACTTTGCAGGACATGGTAGTGTGCACCAGTAGTTTCAGTGATTTGAAATAATGAGGTGGAAGGTTTCCCTAAGTCCAGCTGGTCGACACTGGGTTGACATGAGTGTGTCACTGCACTCTATCCTTGGCAACAGATTGAGTCTCAAACTCAAGGAAAAAAAAAAACTAGAAGCACTACAAAAGCTTTTCAAATTTGAAAGGATCCATGACCTAGAAAAACTTAATATGGTTAAGTAATGACAATGAAAAACTATTGATGTGCACATTACAGTTGAATTTACAGACACGATGCTGAGTGAGAAATGCCAGGCTCCGACCATCAGAAGAACTTCCAGCTTTCTCCTTCCTCAATTCTCCCTCAAGCTAGAGGGCCTGCAGATAAGTATCTACCTCCAATACATTTATTTAAAATTTATATTTGATGAATATTGATACATGTGTCATCCTCGATTTTCTCCTCCACAGGCACATATTTTGATAGTTGCATAGAATGAATAAAGAACAAGTAGGAATGCTTAGGGTTCCTCTTTTTCTTTGTGATATTTAGAATTTTGACCACTTATAGAATTTGTCATTTATTTGTCCTGCAAATATTTCAGATATCACTTCTAGCTGTATTGAAGTACACAATTTATCATTGTGAACAATAGTCACTCAAAATTCCATTAATAATGACAACATCAGAACTTAATTATTCTGTCTAAATATATGCCTGTGAACACTAATTTGTGGAGATGGCTGTGCAGGACTACGCATGTGTCAATATTCATCAAATGTAAATTTTAAATAAAACTTATTACATGACAGCTAAACTCAGTAAGTTTGTTACACGTGAAAATTACCAGCAGATTAACAAAGAGCAGTGAAAACTAAATAAATATATCTAAAATGAAAGAGACTGCTTAAAATACACTTACATGAGTTCTAAACTTCTCCACATTTTAAAGAAAATTGGAGAATGCTGTAAAAGCAAAAACTATTCTCAGTACAGAAAACTAGTTCAGTCATCCAAACTATTAATGCCAGGGTCTCCTGGACTAGGTTGAGAAAATTCGTTATATCCAGGAATGAGAAGCACAGGTTCAGACAGTGGACTATCATCATAATATGCTCCTGGCCACATAACATAACACCTCCAAGCTCTGTGTTTTCCAGTGTTACACTGGAAAATTAAGGTAACGTTGAAAAACAACATACATCTATAGTGTACAAATGTAAAAATAAAATAATAGTTATTAGTTTTGTTACCAATAAATTACATAGTAAGAAATAGCATATTTGAAAATATTTTCATTGACAATGAACTCCTCCAGATTCCTCTCATTTGCACAGAAGGATTGCCTCTCTGAGCCATCCCACCCAGAGCTTGTTATACAGCAGGAGACATGCAAATAAGACCCACCCTCTGAGTAATGAAAACCAGCCCAGCTCCGACTCTCCAGCTGTTGGAGAGGAGCCCAAGCCCTGGGATTCCCAGGTGTTCCCACTCAGAGACAAGGACTGAACACAGACCACTCACCATGGAGTTTATTCTCAACTGGGTTTTCCTTGTGGCTCTTTTAAAAGGTAATTCATGGAAAACTGTGTATATTGATTTTGTGAGTGGAAATGAATGAGGGAAACAGAAGACTTATGACAGTTTCTAATTAAGACATCTCTATGTTTACAGGAGTCCATTGTGATGTGCAGCTGGTGGAGTCTGGGGGAGGCTTGGTCCAGCCTGGGGGATCCCTGAAACTCTCCTGTGTAGGCTCTGGATTCACATTCAGTAATCATGCCATGGGCTGGGTCCGCCAGGCTCCAGAGAAGGGGCTTGAGTGGGTCTCATCCATTAGCTATCATGGTGGATACACAACCTATGCAGACTCCGTGAAGGGCCAATCCACCACCTCCAGAGACAATGCCAAGAACCTGATGAATCTGCTAATTAACAGCCTTAAAGCTGAGGACACAGGCATATACTACTGTGTGAGACACACAGTAAGGAGATGTCAGAGTGAAACTAGACAAAAACTTCCCTGCATGGACTTTGGGCTGAAATCAACTGCAGGTGACAGGCAGGATTCACTGTTCAGAATCAAGCCCAGAGGCAGCTGCAAATGGAGGTTAAGGGCTGATTTCCTGTCAAGGTTTGTGATTTCCTCCCCACCTGAGAGTTTCCCCAGGGAACTTCTCTAATTTTAGATGTCTGTTCCTGTCAAAGTGATCTCTATATAGAAAAGAGGTCATTGTAATAGGAGGATATATTGTCTCTCACAGACACAAAATTCAGATTTCCACTCAGAGAGAAGGTAACACGTTAACCACTGACCCCATGGTAAGAGTCCTGAGGAAGCCCAGGGAGAACAGGGAGTTTTTTCCAGTGATCTCAGGGCAGGGACTCCTGTAGAATTTTCTGATTGGGACAATATCTAGAGATTCTTTGTTCAAAATTGTGTGTGGATGTGGAAATGACCAGTGCTGTGCAAACCAGCACAGTGTCACCTTTCTCACCAGTAGATTTAGGAAGACCTTGAGCATGTGGTCAGAATCCAAATGAAGTCAACTGTGTTAAAACCCTTACACATGGAATCATGGAAAGCCATGAAGAGAGACATCCCGACACATATTCCTGATTAACAAGAACTATCCGAAAAGACTCTGGAAAACCACAGCATTGCACAAAGACTGTGTCCTAAACTTACTATAAATTACTTCTGTTAGAACAGGTGCACAGACACGACTGGCCCAAGACTTTTTAATGCATCCTTGATGCCTAACATAATTATCACACAGCAAACATGTACCCCTACTCATTTTTTCTTTAACATCCTAAGAATTGGCCCACTGGAGTCTCTGCTGCATTTGTTGTCAACATTGTATAGTTAGTCACTTTCAGTAAGATTTAGACTTACCTATGTCTGATGTTTCTTGCAAAAAATAATCAAGATTGAAGACTATAAACAGGATCTTAGAAATATGTTGTAAGAGGGCAATCTTAATATAATCTTTAAAGTTTTGACATAATGGATGAGTGTCTTAAAATATTGTGCTGTGTTTATGTATAATAGAATGCAGTCTAATATTGGGGAATAAATTTGAAAATACAAGTTGTTTTCTTTTAAAACTGTGGAGTGTAACTCAGGTTAGGTGTACAAATGTTGATTATGCAGGTACCCTTGTTAATGAGGTAGGCCACTCCCTCCGATAGGAGTTTCCCTCAACTGCCAATCACAAACCCATCCCCTGAGAGTTTCCAGCTACTTCCAGTCCCTTTCTTATTGTATTTAATTGTTCAACGTCTGGGTATGAGTGAGAACATATGGTACTCTGTTCTGTTACTGTGATAGGACAGATCACTGAGTAGGATCAATTCCAAATCTATCAAATTACTGTGATGTCCATATGTTTGCCTTACATTATGGCTATATAATATTTCATTGTGTAAATGTACCACAATTTTTTATCCAATCCAGCTTTTATGGGCAACATGGCTGGTTCCATGTTTTTGCAATTGTGAATAAAGCTGCAACAAACATACGTGTGCAGGTATCTTTTTTTGTAGAATGATTTGTGTTCCTCTGGGTATATTCCCAATAGGGGATTGCTGGGTCATATGGAAGGTCAATTTCTCGTTCTTTCCTAAATCACCACCCTGTTTTCCAGAGAGATTGCACTAGTTCGCATTCCCACCAGCAGTGTAGATGGGTTCCCTTTACACCACATCTGTGCCAGCATATCTTGTTGTTTGTTTTTCTTAATTATGGCCACTCTTACTGAGGTTAGGTGGTATCTCAATATAGTTTTGATGTGCATTTCTCTGATGACGAGTGAGAAATGTCTATTCATGTGTTTTGCCCACTTTTTAATGGGGCTGTTATTTATTTATTTTTTCCATTCAGCAAGTTCAAATTCCCTGTAGATCCTAGATGTTAGGACTTTTTCAGATATATAGTTGACAAATATTTTTTTTCGCATGCTCTGGACTTTATCCCTACTCTCTTGGTAGTTTCTTTTGCTTCCAGAAGCTGGTTAGTTTAATGTGGTCCAATTTTTCTGTCTTATTTCTTAAGGTATTGACCTTTAGGGTTCTGAATAAGAATTTGTTGCCAATTCCAATTCCCATAAGGGTATCTACTGTGTTTTCCAAAATTCTTATATTTGTGGTTTTATGTTTAGATCTTTGATCCATTTAGAGTTAATTTTTATGTATGGTGAAAGGTAGGGTTCCTGTTTTAATCGTCAGCATTTGGTCAGCCAGTTTTCCCAGCACGATTTACTGAATAGATTCTCCTATCCCCAGTGATTGTTGTTGGAACCTTTGTCAAAGATGAATTGGTGGAAGAATTGAGGCTTTGCTTCCAGAATGTCTATCCTGTTCCATTGGTTTTTGTGCCTATTGTTGTAACAATAGCAGGTTGTTTTAATTACTGAAGTCTTATAGTAAAGTTTGAAGTCTGGAAGTGTAATACCTCCCCATTTGTTTCTATTGCTAAGGATCTTTTTGGCTATTCGTGGTCATTTATGTTCCCATATAAATTTCCAGGCCTGAGAAGAAAGATGCGGGTAACTTTATGAGTATTTCATTGAATCTGTAGATTGCCTTTGGTAGGATGTTCATTTTAACATGTTGATTCTTCTTACCCATGAGCATGGGATATTTTTGTGTCTTCTTTGATTTCTTTGTGTAGAGTTTTGTAGTTCTCATAGTAAAGGTTTTCACTTCTTAGGTTAGGAAGACTCTGATGAATTTCATTTATTATTTGGATATTTTGAATGGGATTGTGCTTTTAATTTGGGTTTCTCCCTGCTTGTTGCTTGCATATAGGAATGCAACTAACTTTTGTGTGATTATTTTTTAATCTGAGACTTTGCAAAAGTTCTTTATCAGGGCAAGCATGATTTTGACAGAGTCACTTGGACTTTCCAGGTATAGGATCATATTATTAGCAAAGAGGGATAACTTGACTTCCTCTTTTCCTATTTGGATTCCCCTGATTACCTTATCTTGTCTAATTGTCCAGTCTGGACTGCTGACACAATATTGAACAAGAGGGGTGAGAGTGGGCAACCTTGTCTTCTAGTTTTCGGTGGGAAATATTTCCAGTTTCTGTCCATTTAGCAATATGGTAGCTGTGGGTTTATCATAGATGGCACTTACAATTTTGAGGCATGTTCCTTTTATAGCTAAGTATTTGAGGGTTTTATCAAGAAGAGATTATTTATTTTATCAAAAGCTTTCTCTGTGTTTAATCTAGATAATCATGTGGTTCTCGTTTTTACATCTGTTGATGTATTTAATCACATTTATGGTCTTGCAAAGTTGGACCAGCCCAGCATCCTGGGGATGAATCTTACTTGGCCATGGTGTATGCTTTCTGACATGTGTTTTTGGATCCAATTTCCTCGAGTATTGTTGAGGACAATGGCATCTATGTTCTGAAGGTGTATTGACATGTAGTTCTTTTCTGGGTGGGTGGCGATCCCTACCAGATTTAGGTATCAGTATGATATTAACTTCCTAAAATGATTAGGGGAAATTCAATAGAGTAGGTACCAGCTCCTTCTTATACATTTATAGAATGCTGCTGGAAATTCATTCTATCCTATCTTTTTTTTTTTTTTTTTTGAAGTAGATTTCTTATAGCAAGAGTCAGTTTCCTGGGTTGTTATTGGTCTATTGAGTGTCTCAATGTCTTCCTGTTTCAACCTAGGGAGATTTTGTGATGTCAGAAATTCTTCCATTTCATTTAGGTTTTCAAATTTTTTTTCCATAAAGGTGTACATAGTAATCTCTGATAATCTTTTGCATTTTTTAAGCATCAGTTTTGATTTGATCTTTTGCATTTCTGATTGTGTTTATTTGGGCATTCTCTCTCTTTTCTTGTCCATTTTGGCTATGGGCCCATCAATGATGTTTATTCTTTCAAAGATTCAGTTTTTGTTTTGTTGTTGATTTACATGATTTTTTTTTCTTCTATGCCCCATATTTGGATTCTTATTTTGGTGATTTGAATCCCTCAGCTAAAGTTGGGGTTTCGGTGGTCTTCTATTTCCAGCTTCTGTAGGTGATGTTTTCGACTTTCTGTTTTCTTTTTGTGAGCTCCTAGAGATATAAATTCCCCTCTGAGAACTGATTTCATGGCATCCCCAAAGTATTGGTAAGATGTTTCTTCACATTCATTTGTTTCCAGAAAGCTTTTATTTTATGCTTTCGTTTCAGAGTTGAGCCAGTCATTGTTCAGCATCATCCTGTTTAGTGTCTATGTCCTTGTGGATTTTAGGGAAATGTTGTTGGTGTCAATATTTATTTTTATTCCCCTGTGGTCTGAGAATGTGCATGGCAAGATTCCAGTCTATGGAATTTGTTTATGCTTGATCTATGACCAAGAATGTGATTGATTTTAGAGTATGTTTAATGTGGTGATGAGTAGAATGTGCATTCTCTAGTTGTTGGATGGAATAATCTGTAGGTATCTATAGAGTGCATTTGTTTGAGAGTCAAGCTTAGGTTCTGGATATCCTTGTTGTTTTTGTGTCTCAATGACCTATCTAGGGCTGTAAGTGGGGTATTCAAGTACAATGCTATAATAGTGTTGGGAAACTATGGGTGGAAGGGGGGAAGGGAGTAGGATTAACGGTAGTCAATATCTGTCTGGGGATGGGGGGCACACCTCATCAAGAAGGGTACCTGCACAATGCATATTTGTATACCTAACTCTTAACTGTACCCCACAATTTTAAAATAAAATAGTATTAAAAATAGAATCAATGTATTTTTTTTTAGTTTATTTCATAGTTGCTTTATAAATGCTGGTGCTCCTGTGTTGGGTGCATATATGTTTAGAATGGCTATTGCTTGTTGTTGGGTTGAACCTTTTATTAATATGTTGTGTCCTTTTACATGTTTTTTAAATTTTGATAGCTTAAAGGTATTTTGTCTGATATTAAGATTGCAACTCCTGCCTTCTTTGTAATCTATTGGCCTGGAAATTTTTCTTTTTTTTTTGACTTGGAGTCTCACTTTGTTGCCCATACTGGAGTGCAGTGGCTGCTCCCGGCCACCGCTGCCTCGACCTGCTGAGCTCCAGCGATCCTTCTGCCTTAGCCTTCCAAGTCGTTGGAACTACAGGCGCATGCTACCACGCCCGGCTAATTTTTGATGTTTTGTAGAGATGAGGTCTCGCCAAGTTTCCCAG